CTTCTCCTCCTTCTCCCGCTCCCCTCCTATCTCCCTCGTCTGCTCCTCCGTCCCATTCTCTCTCCCCTCCTCCTCCTCATTTTCTTACTCCCCCTTCTCCTCGCCTCCTCCTCCTCTTCCTTCTCCTCCCCTTCCTTCCCTCCATGGGGCCGATCCTCCTCCGTCCGCCTCCGCCTGCTCCTACTCCTCCCTCCCATCCTCTCCTCCCACCCTCCTCCTCCTCTCCTCCTCCTCCTCCTCATTCCTCTCCTCCTCCTCCTTCTCCTCGCTCCTCCTCATCCTAGCCTCCTTCTCCTCCTTACTCTCTCCTCCTCTTCCTCCCCTTTCTCATCTCCCCCTCCTCTACTTCCCTTGTCCTCCTCCACTCTCCCTGGGTTCCTCCTCATCCCTTCCTGCTCCTTCTCTCCTCCCCTCCTCACCCCCTCCTCCTACCCCTCCTTCTCTTTCCTCCTCCTTCTCGCTCCTCTTGTCCTCCTCCTCCTCTCAATCCTCCTCCTTCTCTCCGTGGGCTCCTCTTCGCTCCCCTTCCATGTCTCCCCCTCTCTCTCCCTCTTCTCCTCCCACTACCTCTCTTCTCCTCTCCTCTCCCCTCTCCTCCTCCTCCTCCTTCATCCTCCTTCCCTCCTCTCCATCCTCGTCTCCTCCTTCCCTCCTCTTCCTCCTCCTCTCCTTTCCTTTCCTCTTCGCCTCGCCCTTCTCCTCCCTTCCTTCTCCGTCGCCGCCGTATCACGTGGGTCGTGCGTGTCGACTGCTACTAGGGCGGCGGATACAACATGCCATGATAATTCCATACAGCATTTGTATTTGGCAGCGGCGCTTAGCCTCTAGGCGTTAGCTGGGCCGAATGTGTAGCGCGAGTGGCCAGTGGCTAATGCTACAATTAGCAGCGGCTTTCCTGAGCTCGACGTATGTAAATCAGTAAATACAGCCGAGAATTGGCGTAAAAGTAGAGTCGAGCCGACCAATTTGCGGGAATCGATCGGGTGGTAGCAGCATGAGAAGCAGTGTGCGTATTTAAGGAGCCTTTTATTCAGCGATGTCGAGCTCGGGCGAAAGCAGCGGGGCGCGTTGCCGGAAGACGATGGGCCGGGAAGGGCAAGCGAGAGTGAGGCAAGAGGGCGAAAGAGGGGGAGAAGGGGAGAGAGGGAGAGAGGGTGAGAGGGAGAGAGAGAGGGAAGCGGAAAAAGTGGAGAGAGGGAAAGATGGGTGGGGAAGAGAGGCGGGAGAGAGGGGAGAGGGGAGAAAGGGGAGTAGGGAAGGAAGAGGAAGAGAGGGGAACGAAGAGAGCGGGGGAGAAAGGGGGAGAGATGGGAAAGAGGGGAAAGAAAAAGAAGGAGGAAGGGGACAAAGAGGGGAAAGGGAGGCAGAGAGGGGGGAAGAGGGGCGGAAGAGAGGGGCTGGTTGGCGAGAGGGGCGGCAAGGAAGGAGAAAGAGAGGACAGAAGGAAGAGAGAGGGGAAGAGGGGGAGAGGGGGAAAAAGGGTGTGAAAACGTTCAAACATTGGGAAGAGGGGAGGGAAAGAGGCGCACGCTAGAGAGCGGGAGATAAACGAGGAAACAGTGCCCGCGGAATAGAAACAGCTCCAAAAGAAAAATATTAAATGAGGAGAGCGAGGGAGAGGGAAGGACTATACGCAGAACGGAGAAGGAAAAGAAACAGAAAATGGTAAGAGGGTGAACGCGGAGAGCAGCGACAGGTGAAGAGAAATAACGGAGAGAGCACAGGCAAGCAGAGCGAGAGAGAGAGAGAAGGACGAGAGAAAGGATAAGCGAGAGGAGAGAGAGACGGCAGCGCGAGGAGAGGATTCGCGCGGCGAGAGCGAAACAGGCGAGCGATAGAGCGAGAGGGAGAGCAGAGGCAGAGAGAGAGACGAGACGAGAGAGAGCAGAAAGAGAGAGAAAGAGACCCGAGAGCGGGAGGAGAGGAGAAAGAGAGAGAGAGAAGAGAAAGAGCGGACGGGCGAGAGAGACGAGCAAGAAGAGAGAGAAGGGGAGGAGGAAGAGGAGAAGGAGGAGGAGGTGGAGGGGGGTGGATGCTGTGGCATGGGAAAGATTACGCCGTGCTCAAGCAACGATTAGACATTTCCTCTTTTCTTAGCATTAATATATTTATTGGCGCAGGCATTGATACGCGGGTAGAGGCGAGCCGACTTTAGAGATATGAGGACAAAGTGAATTCGTAATGGGTGGGTTTCTTCCGCGACGAAAAGCCTTTCTCGAATTCGGTGCGAATCCATTATGAATGAGTAAATATGTTTGTTGTGCGTGCATGCGCGCGTGCGTGCTTTCGTGTATATGTGTGTGCGCGCGCGCGTGTGCGTTTGATTGTCTGTTTGTGTGTGTGTGTGTGTGTGTGTGTGTGTGTGTGTGTGTGTGTGTGTGTGTGTGTGTGTGTGTGTGTGTGTGTATGTGCGTGCATTGTACGCGCGCGCTTGCGTACTTTTGTGTGGGCTTGTCTATGCACATAGGTTCGTATATATGTGTATGTCTGTTTCATGTGTGCGTTCGTATGCACCTGAGTGTGTGCGTGCGCGTGTGCGCGCATGCTCAGGTCAACTGCAAAGCATTTCCGTTCAACAGATATAGCTAACCTGGCAAACTTTTATCACATTTTCCACCGCATTTCCATGGAGGAGGGAAAGGGCGGAGAAGACCGCGTCCATCCAACGCAAATATATACTGCCGAACGCTACTGCATCGATCCGCGTTTTCCCGGCCACCGATCGCTGCGTTTAAGATCGCGGTTTCCGTGTTTTTTTCTCCGCCGCGTCTATTCAGAATACATCTCGGCTGATAGGAGTACAAGTTGCTGCTGATCAGTGAATCGATGTGTGTGTGGGTCCGTACTCGCTGTTTTCCCGACCGCATGCGTGTAGTCCGATAGAGAGTGCTCCGCCCGACAATAGTCAATTTCGCGTATCAGCCGAACAACCTACGTCGCTTGAAATTCCCATGCAAGCGGCTATATGGATCGAGGCAGGGAGGAGGATCAAGGGAAAGAAGGAGGAGACGAAGAAAGTGGGTGAGAAGGAGGGAAAAGGGGAGGGCAGATGTAAGGGGGAGTAAGGAACAAAGGGAGATGAAAAGAGTCGGAAGAAAAGGATGTGAAGATTGAGGGAATTAGGAGTGATTTTGCTAACGTAGAAAAAGAACGAGAAATAGAAGAAGAAAGAGTGGGGGAACACTGAAGCTCAAAGAGAGTCAAAGAAAATAGAGCTAACGAATACAATCTAATCTAAGGTTTTACTATCTGCGATCAGGAGGCGGAAAGGAGGATGAAGAACAGGAGGACGAGGACGAGGAAGAGGAGGAGGGAAAAGAGACGGAAAAGGGGAAGGGGATGAAGAAAAATAGAGGAAATAGCAAAATGGTAGGATTGAGGGACGTGAGATATAAATAAATAGGAAAATGAGCTAGGGAGGGGAGAAAAAAGGAGATGCAGAATCAGAAAAAATAAGCAGAAAGTTTGTGCAAGAGCTGCAGAAATCTAATAAAATTGAAACTCCGTGAAAACTGAAACGCTGGCAAAACAGCGAACGCATCTCATAAAGAAAATGACATCCATCCTTACGCCGCTCAATTTCTAAAATATTTGTAATTACAATTTTAAAGCTTGTTAGAAAGCTTACCTAGTATGTGTGGACGCGAGCGCTGAATTTCAACCAGATTACGCTGCTAAACCCATCCACCAGCGTTTATAATCCAGCTACTAAACCATGAAAAATTCAAACGCTGATGTGCTTAAAATAATGTACATAAAATATTCCTCGCTTATAATCACGAAACCATGTTTCACGGCTCGGTATTCGTAAGCGAGGAAAAATAAATGGAATTTAGCGCGACCCTGAGGGAATTGAGCGTCCACCAATCACATTATGCATCCACCGGACATCCGTCCTGTCAAATTCTAGCGATATCCAAAAATTCGCATCGAATTATCCAGCTTCGAACTCCGATAAAAAAATGGTTGTTTTTCTCTATGCTTGCATGAATCACAAACTGCAACCTGTGTGAAAGCGAGCGTGTTAACGGTGGGATTTTATATCGCATGTACACCCATCGCAGCGCAAAATATACAGATTCCTATCTTCTCCCCCCACACATACACACAATTGTAGACAACACCCCGCTATCTACGCAGATCTTTCACGTACGGCGGGGGTTTTGCGTCCGACCCACGGGTTTGTCGTCATTCATCATTGCCAGCGCATCGCTGGAACAGCGCGCCTAACAGATGTTCGATGGGTTGCCCAGCAATCGTGCAGCTGCAGAGTCGGCGCATGCGCACGCGGCCGCCATGTGACTAATCACACGGACAGGTGCAGCAGACGAGAGAATGCGCTAGCTACAAAGCACGCAGACGCTCGTCGGTCGTGCTTAGTTCGTTTTGCGTGTGTCACCGACCGACGAGAGCGTATAGACGGGGCGACCGACGGACGGACGGACGCAGTAGTAGTGTGAACTCGCGCGACAGAATCATGATGAATAAACAGCACCACGTCAGTCTGCACCCACCTATCGGGGGGTCGTTACCCGGCCGGTACAGCCCGCCGTACCGCAGTGACCCGATGAGAAGACATTGCATGAACCCACCGGTATGAACCATATTTTAATTATTATTTCTCTCTCGCGCGTATCAATTATTCAAGCAGTTTTCACGGTGATTTATCCTTGAAATATTTAGTCTCGATGCGGCCTCAGCCTTGTTCGTCTGAGACCCCGCTGTATTCTAGTCGTCAGTTCGGCGTCGATTTCCGACCGCACTTCAAACATTACTCGACGATTTTTGTTAGCCGGATTTGAAGATTCGTTGTAACGAATTATTTTATCGTATTCTAGGAGGTATGTGCATTCGGTCAGCTTCCGCCCAACGCCACGGTTGCCGTGAGTGTCTCTAAGAACGATTGTAATTTTTTCGCGCGTCTTGTTCCGATTAGGAGGAGGCGCGACATTTTCGCGATTGACGAATCAAACATGTATGGGAATTTTTGTCTATCCGCTCAAATACACGACGTAGAGATACCTGGCACGGCGACCCTCTGAATTGCGATGAAATATAAACGAACGCGCGTTCCGAAGCTTCATTGCGTGAGATGGCGAGTGAAGTTAGCCCCTATCTAGACGCTTGCATATATAAATAAATATATAATATATATAAATATAGATATAGATATATATATATATATATATAGCGAGCCTTCGACACGCACGCTGTTTATTTATACTGCGGCCGTTCATATTTTATGAAGCGCTATTTATTCTCTGCTCGACTCGCGTTATTAATTCACTCGCAAATCAGGTTTAATGCTTGCGCTGTGTGTGACTTATTCATGTACGAGAGTCAGGCGGGTATTGTTTCTACTATAGCGTGGCCCAGTAACGCGGTCATCATGCGCGTGTAGTGCTGACGGCGGCGGCGGCGATGGTGATGGCGATGGCAGTGGATGCCGCTGTCAACACACGTGTTGACGCGCTGCCGGCGGTTTCGCCGCCCCGCCGCGTTCAATGTTTCGTCTGCGTAATTCATGGCGGTCGCCGTGTCGTCACGCGTCGGATCACGCATCCAACTCACGCGTCTTACGTCACACCTGCGTATCTTTCACGCGTGTATCTCTCACGCGCGTATCTCTCACGCGTGTATCTCTTACACGCGTGAGAGATACACGCGTGAGAGATACACGCGTGAGAGATACACGCGTGAGAGATACACGCGTGAGAGATACACGCGTGAGAGATACACGCGTGAGAGATAGACGCGTGAGAGAGCGTGTATCTCTCACGCGTGTATCGCAAGTGTGTTCGTCACGCGTGTATTTCGTGCGTGTATCTCGTGCGTGTATCTCGTGCGTGTATCTCGTGCGTGTATCTCGTGCGTGTATCTCGTGCGTGTGTCTCGTGCGTGTATCTCGTGCGTGTATCTCGTGCGTGTATCTCGTGCGTGTATCTCGTGCGTGTATCTCGTGCGTGTGTCTCGTGCGTGTATCTCGTGCGTGTATCTCGTGCGTGTATCTCGTGCGTGTATCTCGTGCGTGTATTCCCCCCATGTGTTCTATGTGTGTATTTCGTGTACGTAATTCACGCGTGTACTTTACGCATATAATACACGCGTGTATTTCACGCGTGTATTTCACGCGTGTATTTCACTCGTGTATTTCACGCGTGTATTTCACGCGTGTATTTCACGCGTGTATTTCACTCGTGTATTTCACGCGTGTATTTCACTCGTGTATTTC